CGATGTGACTTATCTACCTACACAAGTAGTCACTCCTCTACCTACAAACGATGTGACTCCTCTACCTACAAATGATGTGACTCCTCTACAAACGATGTGACTTATCTACCTACAAAAGGAGTCACTCCTCTACCTACAAACGATGTGACTCCTCTACCTACAAACGATGTGACTCCTCTACCTACAAATGATGTGACTCCTCTACCTACAAATGATGTGACTCCTCTACCTACAAATGATGTCACTCCTCTATAAACGATGTGACTTATCTACCTACAAAAGGAGTCACTCCTCTACGTACAAACGATGTGACTCCTCTACCTACAAATGATGTCACTCCTCTACAAACGATGTGACTCCTCTACCTACAAACGATGTAACTCCTCTACCTACAAATGATGTCACTCCTGTACAAACGATGTGACTCCTCTACCTACAAACGATGTGACTCCTCTACAAACGATGTGACTCCTCTACCTACAAACGATGTGACTCCTCTACCTACAAATGATATGACTCCTCTACCTACAAATGATGTCACTCCTCTACAAACGATGTGACTCCTCTACCTACAAATGATGTCACTCCTCTACCTACAAATGATGTGACTCCTCTACCTACAAATGATGTCACTCCTCTACAAACGATGTGACTTATCTACCTACAAAAGGAGTCACTCCTCTACCTACAAACGATGTGACTCCTCTACCTACAAATGATGTCACTCCTCTACAAACGATGTGACTTATCTACCTACAAAAGGAGTCACTCCTCTACCTCCAAACGATGTGACTCCTCTACCTACAAACGATGTGACTCCTCTACCTACAAATGAGGTGACTCCTCTACCTACAAATGATGTGACTCCTCTACCTACAAATGATGTCACTCCTCTACAAACGATGTGACTTATCTACCTACAAAAGGAGTCACTCCTCTACCTACAAACGATGTGACTCCTCTACCTACAAATGATGTGACTCCTCTACCTACAAATGATGTGACTCCTCTACCTACAAATGATGTCACTCCTCTACAAACGATGTGACTCCTCTACCTACAAACGATGTGACTTATCTACCTACAAAAGGAGTCACTCCTCTACCTACAAACGATGTGACTCCTCGACCTACAAACGATGTGACTCCTCTACCTACAAATGATGTGACTCCTCTACCTACAAATGATGTGACTCCTCTACCTACAAAAGGAGTCACTCCTCTACAAACGATGTGACTTATCTACCTACAAAAGGAGTCACTCCTCTACCTACAAACGATGTGACTCCTCTACCTACAAACGATGTGACTCCTCTACCTACAAATGATGTGACTCGTCTACCTACAAATGATTGACTCCTCTACCTACAAATGATGTCACTCCTCTACAAACGATGTGACTTATCTACCTACACAAGGAGTCACTCCTCTACCTACAAACGATGTGACTCCTCTACCTACAAATGATGTGACTCCTCTACGAACGATGTGACTTATCTACCTACAAAAGGAGTCACTCCTCTACCTACAAACGATGTGACTCCTCTACCTACAAACGATGTGACTCCTCTACCTACAAATGATGTGACTCCTCTACCTACAAATGATGTGACTCCTCTACCTACAAATGATGTCACTCCTCTATAAACGATGTGACGTATCTACCTACAAAAGGAGTCACTCCTCTACCTACAAACGATGTGACTCCTCTACCTACAAATGATGTCACTCCTCTACAAACGATGTGACTTATCTACCTACAAAAGGAGTCACTCCTCTACGTACAAACGATGTGACTCCTCTACCTACAAATGATGTCACTCCTCTACAAACGATGTGACTCCTCTACCTACAAACGATGTGACTCCTCTACCTACAAACGATGTGACTCCTCTACCTACAAATGATGTGACTCCCCTACAAACGATGTGACTCCTCTACCTACAAAAGGAGTCACTCCTCTACCTACAAACGATGTGACTCCTCTACCTACAAATGATGTGACTCCTCTACCTACAAATGATGTGACTCCTCTACCTACAAATAATGTGACTCCTCTACCTACAAACGATGTGACTCCTCTACCTACAAACGATGTGACTCCTCTACCTACAAACGATGTGACTCCTCTACCTACAAACGATGTGACTCCTCTACCTACAAACGATGTGACTCCTCTACCTACAAATGATGTCACTCCTCTACAAACGATGTGACTCCTCTACCTACAAACGATGTGACTCCTCTACAAACGATGTGACTCCTCTACCTACAAACGATGTGACTCCTCTACCTACAAATGATGTGACTCCTCTACCTACAAATGATGTCACTCCTCTACAAACGATGTGACTCCTCTACCTACAAACTATGTGACTCCTCTACCTACAAATGATGTGACTCCTCTACCTACAAATGATGTGACTCCTCTACAAACGATGTGACTCCTCTACCTACAAACGATGTGACTCCTCTACCTACAAACGATGTGACTCCTCTACCTACAAATGATGTCACTCCTCTACAAACGATGTGACTTATCTACCTACAAAAGGAGTCACTCCTCTACCTACAAACGATGTGACTCCTCTACCTACAAATGATGTGACTCCTCTACCTACAAACGATGTGACTCCTCTACCTACAAACGATGTGACTCCTCTACCTACAAACGATGTGACTCCTCTACCTACAAATGATGTGACTCCTCTACCTACAAACGATGTGACTCCTCTACCTACAAACGATGTGACTCCTCTACCTACAAACGATGTGACTCCTCTACCTACAAACGATGTGACTCCTCTACCTACAAACGATGTGACTCCTCTACCTACAAATGATGTCACTCCTCTACAAACGATGTGACTCCTCTACCTACAAACGATGTGACTCCTCTACAAACGACGTGACTCCTCTACCTACAAACGATGTGACTCCTCTACCTACAAATGATGTGACTCCTCTACCTACAAATGATGTCACTCCTCTACAAACGATGTGACTCCTCTACCTACAAACGATGTGACTCATCTACCTACAAACGATGTGACTCCTCTACAAACGATGTGACTCCTCTACCTACAAACGATGTGACTCCTCTACCTACAAATGATGTGACTCCTCTACCTACAAATGATGTCACTCCTCTACAAACGATGTGACTCCTCTACCTACAAACGATGTGACTCCTCTACCTACAAATGATGTGACTCCTCTACCTACAAATGATGTCACTCCTCTACAAACGATGTGACTCCTCTACCTACAAACGATGTGACTCCTCTACCTACAAATGATGTGACTCCTCTACCTACAAATGATGTCACTCCTCTACAAACGATGTGACTCCTCTACCTACAAACGATGTGACTCCTCTACCTACAAACGATGTGACTCCTCTACCTACAAATGATGTCACTCCTCTACAAACGATGTGACTTATCTACCTACAAAAGGAGTCACTCCTCTACCTACAAACGATGTGACTCCTCTACCTACAAATGATGTGACTCCTCTACCTACAAACGATGTGACTCCTCTACCTACAAACGATGTGAATCCTCTACCTACAAACGATGTGACTCCTCTACCTACAAATGATGTGACTCCTCTACCTACAAACGATGTGACTCCTCTACCTACAAACGATGTGACTCCTCTACCTACAAACGATGTGACTCCTCTACCTACAAACGATGTGACTCCTCTACCTACAAACGATGTGACTCCTCTACCTACAAATGATGTCACTCCTCTACAAACGATGTGACTCCTCTACCTACAAACGATGTGACTCCTCTACAAACGATGTGACTCCTCTACCTACAAACGATGTGACTCCTCTACCTACAAATGATGTGACTCCTCTACCTACAAATGATGTCACTCCTCTACAAACGATGTGACTCCTCTACCTACAAACGATGTGACTCCTCTACCTACAAACGATGTGACTCCTCTACAAACGATGTGACTCCTCTACCTACAAACGATGTGACTCCTCTACCTACAAATGATGTGACTCCTCTACCTACAAATGATGTCACTCCTCTACAAACGATGTGACTCCTCTACCTACAAACGATGTGACTCCTCTACCTACAAATGATGTGACTCCTCTACCTACAAATGATGTCACTCCTCTACAAACGATGTGACTCCTCTACCTACAAACGATGTGACTCCTCTACCTACAAATGATGTGACTCCTCTACCTACAAATGATGTCACTCCTCTACAAACGATGTGACTCCTCTACCTACAAACGATGTGACTCCTCTACCTACAAACGATGTGACTCCTCTACCTACAAAAAGCGATGTGACTCCTCTACCTACAAACGGAGTCACTCCTCTACCTACAAATCATGTGACTCCTCTACCTACAAACGATGTGACTCCTCTACCCACAAACGATGTGACTCCTCTACCTACAAACGATGTGACTCCTCTACCCACAAACAATGTGACTTCTCTACCTACAAACGATGTGACTCCTCTACCCACAAATGATGTGATTCCTCTACCCACAAATGATGTGACTCCTCTACAAATGATGTGACTCCTCTACCTACAAATGATGTGACTCCTCTACCTACAAACGATGTGACTCCTCTACCTACAAACGGAGTCACTCCTCTACCTACAAATCATGTGACTCCTCTACCTACAAACGATGTGACTCCTCTACCCACAAACGATGTGACTCCTCTACCTACAAACGATGTGACTCCTCTACCCACAAACGATGTGACTTCTCTACCTACAAACGATGTGACTCCTCTACCCACAAATGATGTGACTCCTCTACCCACAAATGATGTGACTCCTCTACAAACGATGTGACTCCTCTACCTACAAACGATGTGACTCCTCTACCTACAAACGATGTGACTCCTCTACCTACAAACGATGTGACTCCTCTACCTACAAACGATGTGACTCCTCTACCTACAAACGATGTGACTCCTCTACCTACAAACGATGTGACTCCACTCACCTTGAAGACGCCCCCCTCATGCACGTAGTCCAGTGTTCTGGCCCCAGGGGGGACGTATCTCTGTGTGAGCGGGTTGTTGTAGGGGCGGGGCGGTTGCTTCTGGGGTCGGCCCATAGGTATCACCTCCTGCGGCCTGTGGAGACAGGTGGATAAGTACAGGGAGATTAGCACAGGTAGGGTTAGGACAGGTAGATTAGCACAGGTAGGGTTAGGACAGGTAGATTAGCACAGGTAGGGTTAGGACAGGTAGATTAGCACAGGTAGGTTAGGACAGGTAGATAAGCATAGGTAGGTTAGGACAGGTAGATTAGCACAGGTAGGGTTAGGACAGGTAGATTAGCACAGGTAGATTAGGACAGGTAGATTAGCACAGGTAGGTTAGGGCAGGTAGATTAGCACAGGTAGATTAGCACAGGTAGATTAGCACAGGTAGGTTAGGACAGGTAGATTAGCACAGGTAGGGTTAGGACAGGTAGATTAGCACAGGTAGATTAGCACAGGTAGGTTAGGACAGGTAGATAAGCATAGGTAGGTTAGGACAGGTAGATTAGCACAGGTAGGGTTAGGACAGGTAGATTAGCACAGGTAGATTAGGACAGGTAGATTAGCACAGGTAGGTTAGGGCAGGTAGATTAGCACAGGTAGATTAGCACAGGTAGATTAGCACAGGTAGGTTAGGACAGGTAGATTAGCACAGGGAGATTAGCACAGGTAGGTTAGTACAGGGAGATTGGCGCAAGAAGATTAGCACAGGTAAATAAGCACAAGTACATTAGCACAGGTAGATTAGCACAGGTAGATTAGCTCAGGTAGATTAGCTCAGGCAGACTATTGCAATTAATATTCTAACATACTTAATATATATGTAGATTAACACGGGTAGATTAGCGGGTAGATAAGCACACGTAGATTAATAGTTAGAGTGTTGGCCTCTAATAGAACCCCTCATATAGACAGCATTTATATTTTACCATGAGCCCCTCCACACTAGCCCCTCCACAACAGCCCCTCTCACCTACTTACCCACTGCCTGAGGTTGAATTATTCCACCCCCACCCCCTATCGCCTACTTTCACTTAGAACACACCACAGTTCAGCTATTTGCCTGAGTTGACGACCTACCTCGATATTATTAAAACACGATAAAACATGTAATCGATAACCTCCCCTATTTTGACGGCCTCTTATCAAATTATTCACCCTGTTTTTATCTACACGAGTTGTCCGCCCCCTTGTCTTCACCAATTCCCCCCCCCCCCCCACCCCTTTATTGTGTTTACATTTTTTGTGTTGACAAATAATAAACCATACCAGACGTGTGGACGTTCTGGAACCAAAGGCAGGTACACCAATAGGCAGCTAATCAACCGTGACGGTTAGAACGGTCACACAGGTTGATCGACTCAACTTATTGATGACGTCACTCGGCTTTTTCTTAAGGGAAGTCACAAGAACACTCGAGTTTTTGCCCCTCCCCCCTCCCCTTTATTTTTTTACACTTGAGTTTTTTTTTCCCGTAATGTAGTGTTTGCTATAGCACTTAAGAACCTGTTGAATCTGTCCCAAATCTCAGGACTCGGGGCAGAGACGTCTGTAGTATACAACATCTACAACACTGACATCATTGACGTCTGTATTATACAACATCTACAACACTGACGTCATAAGTCTGTATTATACAACATCTACTACACTGACGTCACAGAGGTCTGTAGTATACAACATCTACTACACTGACGTCATGGACGTCTGTATTATACAACATCTACTACACTGACGTCATGGACGTCTGTATTATACAACATCTACTACAACACTGACGTCAGACGTCTGTATTATACAACATCTACAACACTGACGTCAGAAGTCTGTATTATACAACATCTACAACACTGACGTCACAGATGTCTGTATTATACAACATCTACAACACTGACGTCAGAAGTCTGTATTATACAACATCTACAACACTGACGTCACAGATGTCTGTAGTATACAACATCTACTACAACACTGACGTCACAGGTCTGTATTATACAACATCTACTAGCCTCTACGAGGACAACGCGAGCGAGAATACACACCTGACGTCATCGACGAACTTGATGGCCGTGAGGCTGGCACCGCCCATGCTAACCACTGGCATGGCGTAGCCGCTGTACTGTGTGTAGGACCTGTGGGAGGTGGGGGGCTGGTAGGGCGCTTGACCACTGGTCAGAGTCTTTGTGGCGCCTTGATCTTGGAAACTCGGCTGGCTCATGTTGATGTAGGATCTGTAAAAAAAATATTCCAGAAGTCATGTGGGATGTGTGTACGGGGGGGGGGGGGGGACTTCCTCTGGAAATAATAATGGTCGAGTCGGTAAAGCTCATGGTTGCTAAACCGAAAAGTCTCGAGTACGAACCCTCGGGCAGATGAGGCTCGTTAGCTGGGGACAGCCACTCTTCTAGGAGAGACAACTCCAAAATCAAACAACAGCTGCCAAGTAGTTTGTTCTTGGTTGGACAAAGGCTATGGAAGTAAATCCAGAAAGAAAAGCAGGCTGAAATCGGAGTCAATGGCATCAATGGCGCATAACAAGTTGACACGTATCCTTCTAATTTTAAGAACGAAGAAGAAGACGATTGGTTTTAGAAGAAAAAAATATTAGATTAATACGGTTAAAATTGAAGTTCGTCGTTACTTGAGTCTTGTCATCTATTTTATCCATTACTTAGTTGCTGTGGTTTTCAATAATGGTATTTGATAATATGAGTGACCTATACAAGATGCCGTAGGGGTAATCAATTAGCTTAATTAATTATTTCTTCGGTAGTAAAAATAGGAAGATAAAAAACATAGGCCACTAAACTTAGTTGATGTATGTGTTCAAAACATTAAACAAGCTGGTTTTCAATTAGTCTGGCACATAAAACATATGTCTGAATTAACAAAGCTGTCATTCTGGAACCAAGATAATAGCTAATCTTTGAATCACTCGGTCATGGAAAACTGATTTCTTCTCTTCATGGAAAAACTCAGTGGAAAACTTTAAATGAGCTCCTTTCTAATTATTGAATCACTCAGACGTGAGAAAACTAATTGAGCTTTCTTCTAATCATTGAATCACTCAGCAGAGAACTCTAATTGTGCTTTCTTCTAATTTTTGAATCACAGAGAACACCCACAGTGCTTTCTCCATGACAATGTGTGAAGATTAACAGCACATAACGACTTATTAAGTAACAAAATATAGTTTTATAAAAAAAAAACATCAACTTACATCTTGAGTGAAGGACCTAAACACTCCGTCTGTTGATCTAGAACCAGCAACTGAAGCCAATCAAAGACTTGACGGTATTGTTGCCTGCTCTATGGCCTGTATACAAGACATTTCCAGACTTCAAGTGGGTGGGGAGGGCATGTGGGAGGGGGATAATTATGTGCCGGTCTGGGTTTTTTTTTTGGTGCGGGGGTGGGGAGGGGGTGGAAACACAGCGTTAATCCTTTGGGTCAATACATTCCTTAAGTCGTGATGACCTCATTAAATCAATTTTATGAAAGACTTATTTTAAAAAATGTTTGGACGCGCTGTTACGGTAAACGTTTTAAAAATACATTCACATTAATGACGAACACAATTTCATATTAGCCTGGTTTTTTTTTCTGCACTTAACGAATTCACAAGACACAAGTATAGCAAGTAAATCAATCAAATGAATCATAAACACAACTATCAAGATTTGAGACTAGTTTCTCTTGAACATCATAATCTTTTCCCGTTCGTGCTGAAGACACATGGGGTAGATGACGTAGAGTTCATCTGTTTCAGTGACCCCATGAATGTCTAGTGTTGTCAACAGCCCTTTTGTTGACAGAGTTTCTTCCAGGCATCTCTTCGGGGGGTGGCGAAGCCCCCCCCCCCCCCCGAAAATTTTTTACAGCCCCCCCGAACGAAATAAAATTTATATAATTTATATAGAAAATATATACTTTTAACAGTGTCCGCCCCCATGAAGAAAGTTTACCGCCCCCCCCCCCCCCCGAAGATTTCAAGTGCCCTCCGGAGAAAAAAGTCTGGAAGAAACACTGTTTGTTGGTGAGCTGGAAAAAGTCACAGAAAAAAAGTCACAGATTTTGCTATTAAAAAAAGTAAAAAAAACGGTCAGAAAGTAAAAGTGTTATCGGAAAAAGTCATAGAATTAAAGTGACAGAATAAACGTTACAAACGAGAATTAAGAAATATTTTAGATTTCTTGTTGAGAATTGTAAAATAAAGAGTGTTTATAAACATGTGTGGTATTTTTTTTAGCAATATATTAATAAACTTTAAAAGAATAACAATTTATAATAATAATCAGAGTTTAATCTGCTTAATAGGTAAAAAATACTATAAGATAAAAAAATTCTGCGACTTTTTTCTTATGACTTTTTTTTAAATTTTTTCCTTCGACTATTTTCCTGTGATTTTTTTCTTTCAATCACCTTTGCCCAGTGATAAAATGAGCTTCAAATATCTACAAATAAAGTATTTTACTTCAGCTAGTCGTATTTTTGTTATATTGGGCTCAACTGATAATTTTAATATTTATGAAACATTCGATAATTCATATTTTGTCATAAAGTAAAACCTCTGTTTCTATTTGATTGAATTGCAACCATTCTGGCCAGGCTAGAGTAAGGCCATGAACTAGACCCGTGGAATGTCACACCCGGTCACCTTGGTGTCAACTTGGTCAAGGTCGGCAATCAATACCCGTGCCATCAGTTCAAGTCATAAAACTGCCACGTACATTGTCAATTTAACAACACTAACACATATACTGGAAATTTAAGAAAAAAGACATAATGACCCTAAACTACTGTAAATTTAAGAAAACAGACATAATGACCCTAAACTACTGTAAATTTAAGAAAACAGACATAATGACCCTAAACTACTGTAATTTTTTTTTAAAAATCAGACATAATGACCCTAAAGTTAAGTCTGGCTTGTTGTTTTGTCTAATTAGTATGACATCACTAATTGCCACAAATAATATGCTCGCGGGAGCACTACGAGGCATGTTTATAAATACTACGCGGCCGTGCAGCTTTGATGGAACATTGCTCGCCTCCGTAGCACGCCCCCCCCCCCCCCCCCACCTCCTTCCCCCCAAGAGCCGAACCTCCCAGTTAAAAAACAAACAGATCTAACATTACAGTAACAGACCCCATAGAGTGGAAGAACTGAGGTCTTACAGTAGCATATGGTGAAGGATCGAATATCCCGGCAACGTCACGACTTGATTAGCCCACTGTAAGTCGTTGAGTTGTTTTTTGTAGTCGGGCACAACTTGTAATCGAAGCCTTTGATTGCCGGCATCGATCCGGCGTTTGAACCAATACGGTAGCCGGAATTTATCGGCGTCTACGTGTGGGGTAGGTCAGCCTCACCTTGATACAGGTCGAGGGGAATTTAGGTAATCGGGTAACTTAGTCATTTTAACGGGTAATCGTGTAACTTAGTCATTTTAACGGGTAATCAGATAACTAATTCATTTTAACGGGTAATTGGGTAACTAAGTCATTATAACGAGTATTCATGTAATTAAGTCATTCTAACAGGTAATCAGGTAACAGAGCCATATATAACGGATAATCAGGTAACTTAGTCATTTTTAAAAGGTCATCATTTAACTACTTCATTGTATCAGGTGATCAGGTAACCAAGTCCTTTGACCAGGTAATCAGGTAATTAGGTTGGCGTTGTAGTGGTGATACACCACATGTTGGTGTAGTTGTGATACACCACATGTTGGCGTTGTAGTGGTGACACGCCATATGTTGTTTTAGTGGTGATACACCACATGTTGGCGTTGTAGTTGTGACACACCATATGTTGTTTTAGTGGTGATACACCACATGTTGGTGCAGTAGTGGTGACACACCATATGTTGTTTTAGTGGTGATACACCACATGTTGGTCCTGTAGTGGTGACACGGCCACAACTGCTTCACACCTACACATCAACCTCCTAAATCACCATTAGATACGTCAGCAACACAGACCGTATCACCGTATCACCCCCCCCCCCCTCCAATCCCACCTAAATCGAGCCTAGCACAAACGTGTTAAGGGCTGAAACCAATGAACCGTGAACCGAGACAAAACGGACCTGGTGGGTGGGACTTCATTCAGTCTTTAGTTAGTCTCTAGCGGCCTTATTTTAATTAAGCTCAACTATTCAGCCCTGCTTGTCAAGACAAACTTTAACCCATTAAATACCATGCCGTATCAACCATACACAACCTTTAACCCATTAACGGCCACGCCGTATCAACTAAACAACCCATACCATGACGTCAATACATTCAGTAACACCAATGTCGCTTGATCCTCAAAACACAAGAAACTGCTGTACACAAAACAAATTGGACCATTATTTAACACGCATTAACCCAGAGGTGTAGCGACACGTTTCGGCGCCCGGGACGAACTATCAATTTTACGCCCCCCCTGTCCCATTTATATATAGACTAGCTGCATACCCGTGCTCCGCCACGGTGAATCTTTTTTAAATGTACCAACTTGGGAACAGAACAAAACTAAACACAAACACAAAAGAAAACACAAACACAACAAAAATACAACACAAACACAACACGACATAAACACAACACAAACAAAATTTTAGTCGTTATATAAACAAACCTTTCTCTAATGTTCATAATAAGACAATGCGGTGCTGTTTAAAGGCTGTGCATGGTACGATGTTTACTTTTATGGTTCCAAAATCTATAGCGATGACGAACTTACCTAGCCGCTTATATTATAGACTATAGTTATTCATGCTGGTGAAATAGCCCCCACCCCTCTTCCCCCCCCCCCCCTCTTCTTGGTTAAAAAGCTTTGTGACGTTTTTAAAAAGTCACTATCCCGTAAGTTTTTTTTTTTGGTACCACACCAGTGATGTAGAAGACAGTTCAATTGGTGAGTGAAATTTGTTGTCGTTTATTTTCCTAATTTCGACTGTGTATAATTCAATACTTCAGATTAAAATGAGCTTTTCTTTTAGTTCCACCCATTGTGGCGCCCACTTAGGGTCGGCGCCTGGGGCGGCTGCCCCACCCGCCTCCCCTAACTGCTTTTTTAAGCATTAACTCCATACAAGCATCAAGTTGATGAGAATAGTAGTAGACCTAATCAACAGTTATATAGATAGCAACATTTTCTTTCTTGTGTACAGAGTATAGACAAAGTATTGTAATCGTGCAAAAAATCGAGATCGAGAACATTTTACACCCCCGAGTCGCAAAAAAAGTTAGTTTTGCAAATGTGTCCATCTGTGTTTCTGTATGTATGTAAACACGATAACTTGAGTACTGTTTCAGTTAGGTTGTCGAATTTCATACATTTCTATAAGATCTTATTCGCAGATTTTTGTCAAATTTTGATTTCTTTTCGGATACCGGAAGTGGTATTTACACTATTTCCGATTTCTAAATAAAAAAATACAACATTACAGTTTATTTAACTTGATTCTCTATCGATCGTCTGCCAATTACGTTTTTCAGTTTTGCTGACAATCTTATATATTTTAACAGTTACAAGACTTAAAAAATCACAAAACTTTAAAAGTATAGATCTCTAAATCTATCGATTGGATTTGAATGAAACGTGTACAGTAGCTACACAACATAATTACCATTGTACTAATAGTGATATTTTTAAGTTATCGTAAGCAGGATATTTTTTTTTTTTTGGGGTGGAGGGGGGAGTTTCAAAGTAGGCTACTTTCCATGGTTAACAAAAATAACATTTAAACCTTATTTTAAAAAAAACAATTCGTAACTTAATTACTTTTTTAAAAACCTCTCTATTACATTCTCATTCACCTTTTGTTTTAGCATTTTAAAATTAAAGTCAACACAATAAATGGTTTTTGAATTCTATAAAATGTTCCATTGTATGTAAAAATATCTAAGCTCTGTTTTTTTTTAATCGGCTAACGCTGAAACAGATTTTGGTCAAAATGTAGGCCAAAATAAAATTGCTATAGAACTACAATATAAGTGTTTTTTGCTCTTATGAAGTAGTTTTGTGAATTTTGTATGTGCGATGTATTCAGAGTTTCTTCGAGGCATCTCTTTTACTAGTGTCCGCCCCCCGAAAATGTTTACCGCCCCCCCCCCCCCCCCCGAAAATATCAAGTGCCCCCCCCCCTTCCCCCGGAGAAAAAAGTCTGGAAGAAACACTGGATGTATTACCTCTTTAATGTAGGCCAGTGGTTCCCAACCTTTTTCGAGTGGCGACCCCCTTTTAAAAAAGTAAGTGACCCGCGACCCCCATAGAATTAAAAAGCCGAAATTAGTATGGAAAGTAATAAGCACTAAAATAAGATTTTCTAGTAGACTTTCAATATGAACTACTCTTGATAACTGTTTTAATAGCATGAGTAAAATTGCATACTATTCACTAAACCTTCGTGGTTAAGTTTTTAATTTAAAAAAAATTTTGTTAACGCCAACCTACGTCATTATAATTATCTTAATTTTGTTTTTAATCTAAGAATAGTGTTGAAAATATATTCTCGAAAAGTCAATAAATTTTACGCTTGGGTATGAATGGTGAATAATACACCAAAATTGTGTCTGCAGTTTTTCATCTTACTCGAAATCATTCTGCAAATCAAAGAATTCATCTTGTAATTCATCGGGAATGCTGGCAACATCAAGGGAAGAAGAGAATGGGTAATGCGTCAATACAGATTGTACTTTTTTCAGCTCAGAGAAATAGCGATGCAGTTCGTTTTCAAGAGATTCAAGATGCCCAGAAATCGTTTCTTTCAAAATTGTAATTATCTCACAATCAGATTCATCTACCACACCGCAGTTTCACAAATTTACAATATTTCCAAGATTTATTTTCTTTACCGATTTTGCAGCTTTGATAAAAATGCCCCGAGATTATCATGGAAAGTTATAATATTCGTTCATTTTCGCTGAAGCTTCATGTTAAGCTTATCTTGAACACATCTGCTAGGTATGATAATCGCTCCAACCACTCTATGTCGTTTTAAGTATACCAAAAAGTCTTGTTTCCTTTGCACTTCCAAGCAGTGTTTCTTCCAGACTTTTTTCTCCGGGGGGCACTTGAAATTTTCGGGAGGGGGGGGGGGGCGGACACTGTTAAAAGTATATATTTTCTATATAAATTATATAAATTTCGTTCGGGGGGGGGGGGGGGGGCGGTAAAATTTTTTCGGGGGGGGGGGGGGGGGGCCTGGAAGAAACTCTGCTTCCAAGAACAATTTGATTTCAGATTTCAATTCAAAAACACAATTTACAACATTTCGTCTGACAGCCAGCGTACGGTAGTGTAGAAGAGCAGAACCTCGTGATCTTTATTCATGTATTTGCTTAGTTCTTTGAAGGCTCCAGATTTTATATAATTTACGACTTATACTAGCAATGGACTCTTGATGTCGATTGGTTAGGACAGTGGTTAGGGAGCTAAATCTTTTCTGTTTTCTGAAAGCCCGATTTTGACCTAAACATAGATGGCGCACCATCCGTATAAACCCCCCACAGCAGTTTTAACCCATTTTAATCATCCAGTTTTAAAAAACGTATTTATTTTCTACATGCTATCTTCACAAAAGAGCAACTCTTCTTTGCTATCACCCGCATGAATATAGACACAGACCAGCAACTGCGAACACGAACTCACGACTGTTGATTTATCAACTTGAAAAGCAAACAATGGTGAAAGCTTAATTTCAATAAAAATGTGTTATTTAACATTTACGTACATGCAGCGTTTGATGAGATTTTCTCCTATTGTTTTTTTTTATTGGCATTTTCTATCGCGACTTCATTTGATGCTTGCACTAATGCTGGTGAAAACTTCCTGTTCGATCAAGTTTCTGGCGTTTGCAACTAGCTTCTTACCGACGAAAGAACTCCATATCTTTTTTTGGTGTGTTCCGAATGATTCGTCTCAAATGGCGTTTTAGTTTTGAAGATTTCATAGATTCGTGACTGAGAACAACTTTGTACAGTGCGCTTTGTTTCTTCTCTATTACATTTCCAGTGATGTTAATGAAGCCGAATTTAAAAAATTCTTCTAAATATTTATGTTTTGTTTCTAATTACTAAGGTTTAGTATGCCAGTTGGCGACCCCCCAGAAAGACCTTCACGACCCCCAGGGGGGTCGCGACCCCCAGGTTGGGAACCCGTGATGTAGGCTGTGTAGGTATTTAATGCCAATAAGATAGAAAAACAACACCACTAGATTTAACTCTTGTCCCTTGCACTACATAATCAGCTACACCAATGTAATGATTCGTCTAGATTATATCTATAACAAACGTATGGAAGGTTGTTTTTTTTAACCATCCTCCCCTTCCCCCATAACCACTTCCTGTTCATGTGACTGAGATGTAAGGCATTGTAGGGTCAATATTTTAATGAGCATTTCATTAGTTCTATTAATTTTATAAAATTGACCTTGTTTTTTTTAAAAAAAAAAAGATTTGAGACAATGCTTTTTAAAAATCTCTAGGTATTCACATAAAATATCAACATTTATGGTGGCCCTCTTAATGCACAACTTAACGAATGCACGTGTTTTACAAGGCTTAATGATTTAATGCAGGCTGCGTAGCCTACTAATTAATCCAAGGGAAGTAGCCTTGTAATTGCCGGAAGCTCACAATAATTTTTGTAGTACCTTCCCTTGTTAGGTATTTTTAAAATAACAACAACAGTGTCCACGGCTTAGTAGAATACGAACTGGTTGTTGGAAGAAGCTCAACGGATGGGCACGAGGTAAGAAAATAACAGTGTTCGTTTGAATTCGGTGACTGCCTCCTTCCAGTAAGGCGCAAAATACAGATTTAGACTTATTTTGTTTTAGTGTTATTGGTAAAAATAGATTTGTGAAGTGAACATAACCATTAAATCATTAAATAAATAATAACTTCAGTCAAATGCGGATTTTTATTAATTTTCTGCTTGTGTGACGAGTGAACCGAAGCTCGTCACTTGTGACTTTTTTAAAATATTTTTTTTTAGTTGTGGGCGTTGTAAATTCTAAATTCTAACCTTGAATCCTAGTTAAGTTTATCCTAGATTCTAGATCTTAGTAGGGTAAGTAGACTAAATCGAGATAGATCTAGCTAGAGTCTAGATCTAGAAATCTAGATCTACTTCACTTGACTTCAGTTTCATAAAAATTTATTAAAAAAAGGTCTAACTTTATAACGACTTTACTAAGGTTACTTATTATAACTTACATTCTTACATCATTGATTAATTTAATGATTAACTTCAAGTAAATTAAAAAAGCAGGCAGGCTAGAGAATCTACTTTCTAATAGACTAATAGGGCCTACTTAGTTTCTAGATTCTAACTGTACTAAACTAGATCTAGATCTAGATATTAGATAATACTAGATATCTAGAGTTTATACACTACTATACTAAACTATACTTAATATACTACTAGATCTATACTTAGACTAAAACAAAGTGAACTGGGCTATAGTCGGCTATACAATCAATTAGTGACAATAAGGCCTAGAATCTAAATTGATCATCTATTTATTATTATTAGGCTATTATTATTATTATCATATTATTATCACACACTGACATACACATAGGTCATAGGTCTAGATCAGGTCTAGATCTAGATCTATTTGTTTGCTCTATTATTGAAATTATTGACTAGGCCTATTATTAAACGTAAGTAGTAAGTAGTATTAAGTACTAAGTAGGCCTAAAAAAGGCTATAGGCTTATTTAAACTATTTGAGGATTTCCTACAAATTTTGGAAATTGGTTTAGTTTTAGAGTTGAGTGTTAGACGCTACTAGAGTCTAGCTCTAGTAAAACTAGAATTTAGACCTAAAGCACAAGGGGTCATCCATAAATGATGTCGCGCTTGTTTTTGTGAATTTTAACCCCCCCCCCCCCCCCCCTCCGTCACATATCGTCAAAAAAAGCCAGACCCCGCCTCCCCCCCCCCCTAAAATGACGTCACACAACAGCCTACAACCCCTTTTAAATTGCAGTTGAATTGTTCTTAAAATACCAGATCTATATTTTTCCCATTTCTTGTCTGAACTCTGTCAACATAGAGTATTTTAATCAATTCCTATGACAATTTATTAAAATGGTTTTCTAAAATGCTAAATAACGGCATAAATTCGTTTTCTAAAATTGCTTTTTTATAATGCAAAAGTTTGACGTCACATTATCTGAACCCTCCCCCCCCCCCCCCCCCTCCTCTGCCCCTCATCACACAACACCCTAATTCTAATGTAGATCTAGAATCTAGTGCTACTAGATCTACTAGATATCCAGAGAATAACTAGATCTAGAAGATTTGAATTATTAAATGGTAATAACACTGTTACTACTTCTTATACTACACATGCTATAGAAAATAGTTTTAAAATATTGATGGCGTTAGGACTCATTAGGTCCCAAAAGTAGGATCTTGAATCAAGATCTAGATACTCTAGAACAAGACCTAACGATCTTGATTTTAGAGAGTAGATGTACAAAACAAGTCATAATCTCTAGCACTCTAATAGCCTACAGTGTTTCTTCCAGACTTTTTTCTCTGGGGGGTGGCGGCACTTGAAATCTTCGGGGTGGACACTGTTAGCAGGATAGTGCTCTACTGCCAGTCTACCTAAGTAAAAATTTATAGTGGGGGAAATATGTTTTACTATTGTTGGATAATGCCACAGTAGGCCTAATAGAATCTTCTGAACTAAATCCAAGAATCAATTACAAATGTCAGTGCCAACCTGCCATACCATAGCCCCAACCCTAAATTGGACCGCAACCCCAAACCTGAGATTATTATACAATTAATCACTTAACACCACTTGTGTATAGTCTATTGTCGGACTCCTGTACATAATAAATATACAGGCCCGGATTAAACATTTTTTACAATAGAGCCTTTGTAGTACTATTTTTATTTCATTATTTACTAGGCCTATCTTTAAATAGATTCTTCTCTCCTAGCTGTTGGGGTCTGTGACTGTTAACTCAAAAAAAAATGTCAGCCATATAGTCAAGCGTGCTGGCAGTTCCATCTTTTAAATCGTTCATTGTTTGACAATTGCGTATTGTGTAGGCCTAGTTAAGTCAAATGGTACATTATTTGACAATTGCTTATTGTGTAGGCCTAGTTAAGTCAAATGGTACATCATTTGACAATTGCTTATTGTGTAGGCCTAGTTAAGTCAAATGGTACATTATTTGACAATTGCTTATTGTGTAGGCCTAGTTAAGTCAAATGGTACATTATTTGACAATTGCTTATTGTGTAGGCCTAGTTAAGTCAAATGGTACATTATTTGACAATTGCTTATTGTGTAGGCCTAGTTAAGTCAAATGGTACGTTATAATGACCAGGCTGTGGCTGTTAGTAGTTCACTACAAATATTAGCCCTCAAAAGGCTAATCGTACTCTGACCAATCAGAGCGAGGAATTTTTCTGTGATTCTTAATTTCCCCAATTTATGCAGTGTGTAATGTTGTGTAGAACCCTAACTCTTAAACTTAACCCTATTGCTTAACCCTAACCCCTAAGGTAGAATTAAAAAAAAAGCAAAATTAAAACTTCGAGCCAAAAGGAATAGATCCCATGCCACAAAAAACCAACTACCTAATACACAACCACTTCGACAACAGTTAAAAAACATCGTAGAAAAGTAGACTCATACTCAAAATAATTTTTTTAAATATGCACGCATGCGCAGGACAATACATTTTTAAAATTCGATTGGTCAGCTAAAAATAGCCAACTACGAATAGTTAAATGACATGCATTTCAGAAAAGTGAATAACCACTTAGTCCTAAGACATACTAGTTCCAATTAATGTATTCATGTGATTATTTTTGTTTAGATAATTAAGTGCAAACCTGAAAGAGACACAATGGCAGACCCCTCCAATAGCAGTGTTGATCATGACGGCCATTCACATCATTCACACCACCATGCCCATTTTGTAGTGCCTAAAGAAGGTTAGTTTGTTGTACATTTTGTAGTGCCTAGAGAAGGTTAGTTTGTTGTACATTTTGTAGTGCCTAAAGAAGGTTAGTTTGTTGTACATTTTGTAGTGCCTAGAGAAGGTTAGATTGTTGTACATTTTGTAGTGCCTAAAGAAGGTTAGTTTGTTGTACATTTTGTAGTGCCTAAAGAAGGTTAGTTTGTTGTACATTTTGTAGTGCCTAAAGAAGGTTAGTTTGTTGTACATTTTGTAGTGCCTAAAGAAGGTTAGTTTGTTGTACATTTTGTAGTGCCTAGAGAAGGTTAGATTGTTGTACATTTTGTAGTGCCTAAAGAAGGTTAGATTGTTGTACATTTTGTAGTGCCTAGAGAAGGTTAGATTGTTGTACATTTTGTAGTGCCTAGAGAAGGTTAGATTGTTGTACATTTTGTAGTGCCTAAAGAAGGTTAGTTTGTTGTACATTTTGTAGTGCCTAGAGAAGGTTAGATTGTTGTACATTTTGTAGTGCCTAAAGAAGGTTAGATTGTTGTACATTTTGTAGTGCCTAAAGAAGGCTAGTTTGTTGTACATTTTGTAGTGCCTAGAGAAGGTTAGTTTGTTGTACATTTTGTAGTGCCTAAAGAAGGTTAGATTGTTGTACATTTTGTAGTGCCTAAAGAAGGCTAGTTTGTTGTACATTTTGTAGTGCCTAAAGAAGGTTAGATTGTTGTACATTTTGTAGTGCCTAAAGAAGGCTAGTTTGTTGTACATTTTGTAGTGCCTAAAGAAGGTTAGATTGTTGTACATTTTGTAGTGCCTAAAGAAGGCTAGTTTGTTGTACATTTTGTAGTGCCTAAAGAAGGCTAGTTTGTTGTACATTTTGTAGTGCCTAAAGAAGGTTTAGATTGTTGTATATTTTGTAGTGCCTAAAGAAGTTAGTTGGTTGTACATTTTGTAGACTAATGACAAAGGTAGTTATTTCACAACTTAAATAAAGACTGTTGTTATCTGGCTGTATTTCACATTATGTCAAGCTTATTCTCAAAGCTCAACTTAAACACAACCAACAATCTAGGCCATAACCTAGTTAATGATATGAGTGGGAGGTATATCTGTATTAGTAATAACATCAAAGTACATATTTCTATTAGAAATATAAATACTTATTGAATTGAATATTAGAAAAAAGATTATTTGGGAATGAGGGCACTAAAGATTTCTTTTAGTAAGTAGCGATTAAAAGGTTGGAAATAATGAAGCTTCTTTGTGAATATGGAGGGGGGGGGGAGGGCTTTATATACTTTAGCTAAACAAATATCTCCAGATAACTCCCATCTCTTGCAGATGACCTTAGTGCCCATGACTCCCAGATTCTGTTGGAACATGTGGATGAAAACAAAATCAATGTCCGGCTAGGCTTCTTGCAAATCAAACACATTTACGAGGTCAGATTTTCTGTGAACGATAACTTGGGGAAAGACACAACATTTCAACCTCTAGAAAACCTCAATGCCAAAATTGAATCAGTAACCCCTACGGCACAGGGTAAGGGTTCAATTTTCATTTCAAACTCAATTTTAAATTTTCAAACGTTGTTTGTGTAAATGTCTTTAAAGATATTTACGGATTATTATTTATCTTTTTTTCTTCTATCTTCTTAGGCACAGGGCATGACGTAGTGATTATATTTAGCGCAATGAAGGAAAAGATAATGCAGGAGACAGTTACATATTCATGCTCCAAAGATCCTAAAAAGAAAATTACTCTTGTTTTACATGCTCGAGTTTTAGGTAAGTTAATTTAGTGTTGGTCTTAACTGAAAGTTAATTTAATGTTGGTCTTAGCTGAAAGTTAATTTAATGTTGGTCTTAGCTGAAAGTTAATTTAATGTTGGTCTTAACTGAAAGTTAATTTAATGTTGGTCTTAACTGAAAGTTAATTTCATGTTGGTCTTAACTGAAAGTTAATTTCATGTTGGTCTTAACTGAAAGTTAATTTAATGTTGGTCTTAACTGAAAGTTAATTTAATGTTGGTCTTAACTGAAAGTTAATTTAATGATGGTCTAGTTTAAAAGTTGTAAGTGTTGTGTGGTCTAAAAGTTGTCTTGAATGGTCTAGTCTACATATTATTATTAAGTCCCAGTTTTATTTATCATTCAATAAAAATGTAACCGCCTTGCTAGGAATCTGTATAATATTTTTTCTTATAGTGGTGAGTGGGGTGGGGGAAGGAATAGAAAATTGAAGTTTTATAATTTTGCTAAAACTGATATAATAGATGTTGTAGATGTTTTCTAATGGGTTGGTGTGGTTGGGCCAGTAAAGCTCAATGTTGTTAAACCCAAAAGTCTTGAGTTTGATCCCCGGGACAGCATCCTATCTAGGAGAGTACCTCCAAAATCAAACAACTGCTTCCTCGTAGTTTGTTCCCAGATGGACAAAGGCTATAGAGGCAACTCCAGAAAGATAAACAGACTGTTAAACCAGCTGGGCCAAATGGTGCAAAATAACTTAGTCACATAATACTTGGTCACATAATACTTGGTCACATAATACTTAGTCACATAATAGTTAGTCACATAATACTTCATTGTGTTGGAAGAAATCCCTTAGTCACATAATACTTAGTCACATAATACTTAGTCACATAATACTTAGTCACATGATACTTGGTCACATAATACTTAGTCACATAATACTTAGTCACATAATACTTAGTCACATGATACCTCATTGTGTTGGAAGAAATCCCATCCAACTTTAGAATGAAGAAGAAAATGTTTTCTTCAAGATTTTGATGAAGTATTTGCTGACATAGACAGCAGCTGTGTTAAAAGATCCATTATAAAGTTGGATGTTATTGTGTACCTGCTGGGTTCTACACGGTATGGGTTCAAGTCTAAAGGATTATTTTATGTTGTGTATTCCCATAAAATTGTGGTCTTGTAAACTTCATATTCTCTTCATATGATTGTATTTAAGCACAACTCTTCTCTTCTTGAACTCAAATGTGAAAATGTCTTTCACTGCATTGGTTTGTTATTTCTGTCTATTGTTGCTTGTATTTTGTTACCCTCCATCAATATATTTACTTTCCCTTGACTCTTGTTTTTCCAGGTAAAGGTAAAGGTACTCCATCTTTGAAGAAAGGTATACACTGTATTAAGGTAGAGTTGGATGAGGAATCTGATGCCAGTGATTGGCAGGGGTTCTGAGCCGGTCGTCTGTGTTGCCTTCACTGAATATTTGAAACTCGGCGGTTTGAATGTCATGCTGACCCAGTATAGGTCAAGGTCTAGGTGTATCACTGGTGTGTGGATGTGTGTTTGGTGTGCTCAATTGGACGATTTGTTGATTCATTCTTTTGTCATTGGAGAAATAGTGTCAATAATTTTTTGGATTTTTTTTTTTTTTTTTTTTTGAAAAATTAAATAAGTCTGTGACTAACTTTTTGTTTTTAGATTATTAATTAATTTTTTAGGAATCTCTGATGAATCTTTTTAGTTCCAGAACTTTAAAAAAAATTATTTGTGAATTCTGTTGCATGGTTTAAATGTTAAAGTTTTTAAAAAAAAATTGATTATATATTAAATGTTTGAAGTATTTTTTCATTGATTCATTGTATCCACCATCCGTTATCCCACTGTAAATTTTCATTTGTTTACCTTATGATGAATCAAATGTCCAAGTTGTTTTTACATAATAATTTTTATCTGATCATTTTAACTACAATTTTATTTTAAAAAAAAAAGCATTCTGAAATTGCTGAGAATTTTACCTTGTTTTTATGTATCGAGAATAGCTGAGTTATATATAGCTATTACTGCCGTAATGAAATTTAAAAATTTGTTTGCATTAAATCAGAAATTACAAATATTGGAATAAAAATATTAATTTGGCTTATATTAGTGCTGTAGAAAAATAAATTTGATTAAAACCAGTAAATTTGGCTTGCATTATTAGTACAGAAAAATAAATTTGGCTTTTCATTTTTAAAATGTTGGTTTATCTGGTCTCTTTTTGACTGTGATGTTTTGAGTATTTGGCCAGATAAAATACCTGACTCCGTGAATTTAGGTTTTCTTGTTGCACTTGTTTTGTATTGGGTCCTCAGCGTCTGAAATTGAACTTGATGGTTGGTGCATCTCACATTTCTAGCTGGGTGGGGTAATAAACTTGTATAGGAGGGTGGGGTAGCCTACATAAAAGGAGGGTGGGTATCTAAAAGTTTAAGCAGACCAAGGAGGGTGGTGTATATCCCTGGAGCAGTCTAATTATCTTGAGTTGGCCATAACTAACATTGATTTAGTGTGCAGCAGACACGTACTTAATATTTCCAATCTGTCGGATCAATAATTGATCAGCTGGGGCCCACCTCTGTGACCCGCTTTTATATCTATACCCGGAAACTGCTGGAATTGGGTCAAATATTTGGCACCGAATCTGGTCATTTCCGTTGGGGCAATATTTTTTTCTTTGGTACCTTTAGACGCAATGATAGCAACGTGTAGCATCATTTTGTACTCCGTACATTCAGAGTTTCTTCCAGGCATCTCTTGCCCCCCCCCCCCCCCCGAATGAAATAAAATTTATATAGAAAATATATACTTTTAACAGTGTCCGCCCCCCCCCCCCCCGAAAATTGCAACAGACAGCAGCATGTGTACTGTATATCCAGGATTCAGACAAGGCTATCTCTAACATAGCTAGCTACAAAACCAAATGCCCAGCAAATATAGGCTATCTCAAACATAGCTAGCTACAAAACCAAATGCCCAGCAAATATAGGCTATCTCAAACATAGCTAGCTACAAAACCAAATGCCCAGCAAATATAGGCTATCTCAAACATAGCTAGCTACAAAACCAAATGCCCAGCAAATATAGGCTATCTCAAACATAGCTAGCTACAAAACCAAATGCCCAGCAAATATAGGCTATCTCAAACATAGCTAGCTACAAAACCAAATGCCCAGCAAATATAGGCTATCTCAAACATAGCTAGCTACAAAACCAAATGCCCAGCAAATATAGGCTATCTCAAACATAGCTAGCTACAAAACCAAATGCCCAGCAAATATAGGCTATCTCAAACATAGCTAGCTACAAAACCAAATGCCCAGCAAATATAGGCTATCTCAAACATAGCTAGCTACAAAACCAAATGCCCAGCAAATATAGGCTATCTCAAACATAGCTAGCTACAAAACCAAATGCCCAGCAAATATAGGCTATCATATCAAGTTTCTTAGACATGCGCAGTTTCCACTCTGTCCTGTTAAATTACGGGTTATTTCGTTTACCGGTTTAGCAAAAAAAAATGCGTTTACGTTTTTTTTTGTCATTATTTAACTGATTACTAGTGATTTAAATTGCCAGAGATAGCATTAAGCTCTGAAGTCATTAGTTGGGCGAGTCTCTTTATAGAGTCTCTCTATCAAGTCAACAGGTATTTTAAAAACCAAAGCTTAACAGAAAGTCAAGGGGATATATATATATATATATATATATATATATATATATATATATATATATATATATATATATATATATATATATATATATAATACCACAACTTTGGCTGCTTTTAAAAAAAATATCAGTGCCGGAACACCCCCCCCCCCCCCCCCACGCCTAACTAAACAACTAATCAGAAATCAGTGCTTGGTCTAAATCACCCCTTTCCCTCCCTTCACCCGCCTCAACACACACTACTTAGCAGCAAGTTTTAAATGACAAAACCAACACAAATAAAACGGTGCATTTGTGCAGGGTCACCCCTCCCCCCACCACCCCTCAACTGCTGGTCCAGTCAGGCCGATCTAATTCAGATTTTTCTCTCCACTGAGCACACGCCAGCTCCATCATTCTAATAGAGATTTGAGCCGTTAATGGCAGTTATTTGTATGATAGACCACCACACACCCAACAAGCTGTATATTTTTTATTGCTGGGACGGCTATGCAAGAAAATGTATATAAATATTAAATGATAGTTAGTTTAAAACGACGAATCAAAATAACTTAAATCAGCAAATGTATCAAGGGAAAGATTTAAAAGTATTACGTCATGATGTGATTTCATCTGTTACCTGGGGGGGGGGGGGGGGGTTGGTGGAGAGAAGTGAAGTAACGCAGACCATATTGTTTGTCTGATGTTTCAATGGTCCACCAATAATCTACGTCACGTGACGGCATGCAAATTTGCCCCACCCCTAGTAAACGATCACTCAAGTCATACCTACCCCCACCCCCCCCCCCCCCCACCACTTACTAGAGGACGTATTGCAATTGCATCAATTGTTGGTGACAGTGTTTATTTCAGGCATCTCTTCGGGGGGGGGGGGGGAGGAGAAAGAATATCAATGCCCCCCCCCCCCTCCCGGAAATTTTTTTTTGAAAGAAACACTGGTTGGTGATGTACCTTATGTGTGTGTCCAACCATCATAGCCTCAGTTAAACAACATTTTAGCTGTATCGTATAGGATCAGATATTAAAAGCCAACACACCATTTACATAAAATTTTAAAAAAATTAACCTAACGCGTAAATCGGTGTAAATTGTAATCATTGCATGTAATGTAAACCATGACACAGATCACAAATAGCTGCTGCTTGTACTACGGTTATCACGTGGTACACAACACTTGTCTGACGCCGTGACACAGGTCAACACCCTGATAAGCCCTCACCATTTCTTATCAGTTATTAATAGCTTCTGTTTGTTTTTTAGGTTATTTAACAACTCACTAACTAGGCCTGCAAACAAAAATTCTATTTTTGTTAGGTTTTCTAACAATGTATCAAATGGGCCTACATCTGAAATATGGCAACATTCTCGTGTCTCAGGAGACTTAAGAATGTTGCCCCAATGGTCTATAAATGTTGCCTTATAGAACAAAGAAAGTTGCCCCTATAGAACTAATAATGTTGCCCTTATAGAACTAAGAAAGTTGCCCTTATAGAACTAAGAAAGTTGCCCCTATAGAACTAAGAAAGTTGCCCCTATAGAACTAAGAAAGTTGCCCCTATAGAACTAAGAAAGTTGCCCATATAGAATTTAAAAAGTTGCCCTGTAGAACTAAAAAAGTTGCCCTATAGAACTAAGAAAGTTGCCCTGTAGAACTAAAAAAGTTGCCTTATAGAACTAAGAAAGTTGCCCTGTAGAACTAAAAAAGTTGCCCTATAGAACTAATGAAGTTGCCTTTATAGAACTAAGAAAGTTGCCTTTATAGAACTAAGTAAGTTGCCCTATAGAACTAAGTAAGTTGCCCTATAGAACTAAGAAAGTTGCCTTTATAGAACTAAGAAAGTTGCCCTATAGAACTATGAAAGTTGCCCTATAGAACTAAGAAAGTTGCCCTATAGAACTAAGTAAGTTGCCCCTATAGAACTAATAATGTTGCCCTTATAGAACTAAGAATGTTGCCCTTATAGAACTAAGAAAGTTGCCCCTATAGAACTAAAAAAGTTGCCCTTATAGAACTAAGAAAGTTGCTCCTATAGAACTAAAAAGGTTGCCCTATAGAACTAAGAAAGTTGTTCCTATAGAACTAAGAATGTTGCCCCTATAGAACTAAGAATGTTGCCCTATAGACATGAGAATGTTCCCCCGTAGACCTAAGAAATTGCCCTATGATGTAAATTTAAACTTCACTCACAGAAGACTTCCTGTGGGTGAACACTCACGTGCAGCCCATCCGTTGAGCAGCTCGTAGTGTCTCGTGTGCTGGCATCTCCTGGGAGATCTGATCCTTGCTCCACCCCACACACCCGACTCCCCGCACCCCCCCCCCCCCCCCCCCACCCCATCTAATCTACAAGCGCATTAACGACAACTCGACAGCTACACTAGCCAAAGGGAGATAATAAATCAATACTCAGGGGTAATCAATCTATATATTCATTTGCAGTTCTGCTTGTCCGCCCCATCGTTGCGTGACTGCGTTCATGAGCATCTTCTACTTGTTTCACTTCTTGTTATCTCCCCCCTTCCCTCCCTCTTACCCCCCCCCCCCCCGCCTCAACATCTACGTAGCCATGTAACATCTACCCACCATCTACTTTCCTACCTCCCACCTTGTATTTACCCACTACCAACTTTCAAGGAGCTGTGTTAGCGTACTGTGCGTTTCTTTTCCTTGTGCAGGAAATCATCTTAAGATTTCAAGAATTTGTCTGTCTTCTGTTGTTTTTGTTCTAGTCTAGTATTTTTCTATTCAACATAACTGAATAAGAAATGTTATTTAAAATTTTTTTGAGTATTTGGGTAATGTGTGTGTGCAATTTAATGTTTAAAATTCATGATCGATATTTAGCGAAATCGTCGATTAGCGCGACGTCATAATACCAAAATCAAACAACGGGTAATCGATGGACCAATTGTTTACCCGACTCTTTCTAGATGATTGATGGCGCGTGAGATTGCACGTGCAAGTTTGCTGGAACCAATGTGGCCTTGAGATCTAAAATACCCCCAGCTGGTAGCTGCTTTTATGTCCCGGGGGTGGGGTAGGTGGGGGGGGGGGGGCGCTTCACACATCACTGCCGCTGTTCGTCTACTTGTGTAAGCGTCGGTTGAGTCTTGGATGGATGTTTAGAGGCTATGATAGATTAAATTCTGTTGCCGTTGGACTAAGTCATGTATCGGATGGAGTCAAATGCCGGATCGACGATGTCATATGTTGGATGGACATTGTCATATGTTGAAAGGACTATGTAATATGTTGGATGGACGATGTCATATGTTGGATAGACTAGGTCATATGTTGGATGGACTAGGTCTTATGCCGGATGTACAAGGTTACATGCCGGATGGACTAAGTCATATGTCGGATGGACCATGGT